CTACATATTTATTTAGTTTGTCATTCTATCGTTTTCATGGAATTTTTGTGGTAATTAAATATAATTTATTTAGATTTTTACCAGCTCTGTGTATTCTCAAATTGAAAGAAGTGAGAGTGCTGCTCCCTCACGCTACGGCAGCACTACATCCCTGGGAGGTACTCAGATCCAGACTCATTGCAGAGAAGAAACTAAAGTCTGGGGGCGTAGCGCTTGGCCGGTGCATAGGCAGTTCAGTTTATTATTTAACATCCTAAATAATGCCATATTTTGTAAATGTGTAAACTTGAGGTAAAAAGTAGGTTGATCAATTCAAGGTTACATTACCATGTGATCAATGACGTCTGAAGCTTCGTTTGATCACTTTTTTGAAACGTGTTGCAAAATGCAAGATACAAAGATTTCACTATTGTGATGGTGCTTTCTTCAATGCCAAGTTGCTTTCAAACACCGACCTCTACTGGACAATTTATATGTACATTTATTAAAAATGTTTTCAACTACATACCACCTGAACGGGAGCTCAGCAGGTAGGGTCAAGGATTAGGAAACAACTAGGCACAGGATCGAATCCTGGCTATCTTTGGACACTTACTTTCTGTGAAACCACACTATCTGCACATTGTTGTTCAAATAATGTGTTTTATTTAGTATAGCCTCTGATAATTTTTTAGAAAAAATAGTGAACAGGGAGGCAAGCATTCAACTAACTTTAGTTTACTAGAATTCACACCTATCCATTGCGCCACAAAGTTTTGATGGATGCAGAGTGAAAGGATTTCTATATATACGTCAAATGTGCTGATATTTATTTTTGACCAGCAGGTGTCCCTAATGTGCATTGTGTTAAAAGCTTTGAGTAATGAACCGTTTTTCGGCACAATTTGGTGAAAGCCCCAAAGGCTTCATTTTACATCACTAGAGATTAGAGAGATAAGTATAACTGTATTATAATGTAGCCAATGCTCTAGTAGACTCATTTTTGGAGGAACAGTGGAACTGGATAAAAGTGCTTCTTTATTCTACAATTAAAACAACTGCGCTTCAGCCCTTTGCCTTCATTAAGTTAATTTACAGATGATAAAATGGAGAGTTTAATATACACTCAGTGGTCAGTATATTAGGTAGACCACTCCATTCACGAAAATGGTTCGCTCCTATAGATAGTGAGTCAGGTGACCGTGGCTTGCTATATAAAGCAGGCAGACAGGCATCGATTGAACGTTAGAATGTGCAAAACGAGTGACCTAAGCGACTTTGAGCATGGTATGATCGTAGGTGCCAGGCACACCAGTTCCAGTATCTCAGAAACGTCTGGCCTCTTGGGCTTTTAACGCACGACAGTGTCTAGGGTTTTCCGAGAATGGTGCAACAAACAAAAAACATCCAGTCAGCGGCAGTCCTGTGGGTGAAACACCTTGTTGATGAGGGACTTCGAATAAGAATGGCAAGAATTGTGAAAACTAACAGGGGGGCCACAAACAGGCAAATAACGGCGCAGTACAACAGTGGTGTGCAGAACGGCATCTCGGAACACACAACTCGTCGGCCCTTGTCACGGATAGGCTATTGTAGCAGATGACCACACCGGGTTCCACTCCTATCAGCTAAAAACAAGAAGAAGCGGCTCCAGTGGACACAAGATCACCAACACGGCACAATTGATGAGTGGGAAAACGCCCGGTCTGACGAATCCCATTTCCTGTTGCGTCATGCTGACGGCAGAGTGAGGATTTGGCATAAGCAGCATGAGTCCGTGGCCCCATCCTGCCTGGTGTCAACGGTACAGGCTGGTGGCTGTGGTGTAATGGTGTGGGAAATATTTTCCTGGCACACCTTAGGTCCCTTGATACCAATTGAGCAACGTTTGAACGCCACACCTTGTAGAATCCATGCCACAAATAATTCAGGCTGTTCTGGAGACAAAGGGGGGTCTGACCCGGTACAAGATGGGTGTACCTAATAAATTGGCCAATGAGTGTATTTGAAAATGGCCCAGGGACCAATCACAATTGGTATTCAAAACAAAACATGATGTAATTGGTAAATGAGTTGCACACACAATCTATTGGTCAGATATTTGTGACTCATTTACCAATCACATCATGCTTTTTTGTATTACCATTGTGATTGGTCCCTGAAACCATAGGAGGGCATTTTGAAAAGAATAAAAGCCTCCTTCATTTTTTATTTGTATAGTAAGTAGGCTAAACCCTGGCACTGATGAAGAAGCACTTTTTTTTAAAACTTCCACTGTCCACAGAGAGTTGCTGAATTGCCTCTTCACTTCAGTTTGCTACTCAATTCATGCACCATTGGAGAGCAAGGTAAAAGCATTGTTCCCTTCCCCCTGTAGCCTAGCCTAAGTAATTAACCCTAAAAGCACTGACATAGTGGCGCAGTGGTCTAAGGCACTGCATCTCAGTGCTTGGGGCGTCACTACAGACCCCCTGGTTTGATTCCAGGCTGTATCACAACCGGCCGTGATTGGGAGTCCCATAGGGCGGTGCACAATTGGCCCAGCGTCGTCCGGGTTTGGCCGGTGTAGGCCGTCATTGTAAATAATAATTTTTTCTTAACTGACTTGCCTAGTTAAATAAAGGTAAAATATATATTTTGCTTAAAAGTGCCAACTGGGGTCATTTTTGACCCCAAATTAGTAATGATTGCAAAGAGACACTGTCTGTCAAGCAGTAACACTTGTTTATTTTATTAATCTTTTGTGACACAAGTAAATGGTTTAAATTCCCCCAAATAAGCATATATTTCTTACATTTTCACACATTTACAGTGGGGAAAAAAAGTATTTAGTCAGCCACCAATTGTGCAAGTTCACCTACTTAAAAAGATGAGAGAGGCCTGTAATTTTCATCATAGGTACACGTCAACTATGACAGACAAAATGAGAATTTTTTTTCCAGAAAATCACATTGTAGGATTTTTAATGAATGTATTTGCAAATTATGGTGGAAAATAAGTATTTGGTCAATAACAAAAGTTTCTCAATACTTTGTTATATACCCTTTGTTGGCAATGACACAGGTGAAACGTTTTCTGTAAGTCTTCACAAGGTTTTCACACACTGTTGCTGGTATTTTGGCCCATTCCTCCATGCAGATCTCCTCTAGAGCAGTGATGTTTTGGGGCTGTCGCTGGGCAACACGGACTTTCAACTCCCTCCAAATATTTTCTATGGGGTTGAGATCTGGAGACTGGCTAGGCCACTCCAGGACCTTGAAATTCTTCTTACGAAGCCACTCCTTCGTTGCCCAGGCGGTGTGTTTGGGATCATTGTCATGCTGAAAGACCCAGCCACGTTTCATCTTCAATGCCCTTGCTGATGGAAGGAGGTTTTCACTCAAAATCTCACGATACATGGCCCCATTCATTCTTTCCTTTACACGGATCAGTCGTCCTGGTACCTTTGTAGAAAAACAGCCCCAAAGCATGATGTTTCCACCCCCATGCTTCACAGTAGGTATGGTGTTCTTTGGATGCAACTCAGCATTCTTTGTCCTCCAAACATGACGAGTTGAGTTTTTACCAAAAAGTTATCTTTTGGTTTCATCTGACCATATGACATTCTCCCAATCCTCTTCTGGATCATCCAAATGCACTCTAGCAAACTTCAGACGGGCCTGGACATGTACTGGCTTAAGCAGGGGGACACATCTCGCACTGCAGGATTTGAGTCCATGGCGGCGTAGTGTGTTACTGATGGTAGGCTTTGTTACTTTGGTCCCAGCTCTCTGCAGGTCATTCACTAGGTCCCCCCGTGTGGTTCTGGGATTTTTGCTCACCGTTCTTGTGATCATTTTGACCCCACGGGGTGAGATCTTGCGTGGAGCCCCAGATCGAGGGAGATTATCTGTGGTCTTGGCCATAGTGGAGTTTGGAGTGTGACTGTTTGAGGTTGTGGACAGGTGTCTTTTATACTGATAACAAGTTCAAACAGGTGCCATTAATACAGGTAACGAGTGGAGGACAGAGGAGCCTCTTAAAGAAGAAGTTACAGGTCTGTGAGAGCCAGAAATCTGTAGGTGACCAAATACTTATTTTCCACCATAATTTGCAAATAAATTCATTAAAAATCCTACAATGTGATTTTCTGGATTTTATTTTCTCATTTTGTCTGTCATAGTTGACGTGTACCTATGATGAAAATTACAGGCCTCTCTCCTCTTTTTAAGTGGGAGAACTTGCACAATTGGTGGCTGACTAAATACTTTTTTTCCCCACTGTATAGTCAAATTTGATGTTTAAAAATAAACGTTTATGTGTGTTTCAAGATTTGAACAGATATGTTGATACATTTCATCCATAGCCACTTGTTATGAACATTTGTCTCCTATTCATTTAAAGTGCTGTGTTTCTGTGGTAGTCAGAAGCGGAAAAATTTGCGATTTAAATAATCTGACCTAAGATGGCCACCGATATGTGCGATATGGGCGCCGGTGCCATCCCACTTTTAGCTCTAATTTTGGAACGTTATGGGCTATCAACTCAGTTCCAATTGCATCTGAAAGATGAGACTCATTGTCTGGAAAATAAATATGTATTCAAATTCTCTAGTTCTTTTTTAGTTATAGTGGCTTCCATGTCCCCCAGGGGGCAAATCTGGGGTGGCTCAATATCTATATATTGTGCCAAATCACAAAGTTTACTATTGAGTCCACATTTTCAACTGTGCACCAGTGGTATACAAAGGATATATATTTTTTCATTCCTCCATATTAACACAGGAATCATGGTCATTGGTGTTTTTTTGTCGGTAACTATTTGCTTGACAAAGTCCAACAATTTCAGAAGGACCCCCTTGGGGTAAAGATTTACCCCTGTTGGCACTTTAATAATTAATTTAAAAAAACATAATTGTCATAGCCTACAATTATGAACAACTATTGCATTTCATAATACATTTTGCATGTGCTTGAAACTATTTTGCCGTACAGTCTGAACATGCCTGAAGACCACACGTTCTTCTTCCCGCCCTATCCAGCGCACCGCCAAAGAGTGATTCTACCACACTGGCGTTCATAGAGGTCCATGTGCTGGACGGCAGAGCCATCACCATAGTGAGCAGCTGACCACCAAGACCCAGACAGACTGGGAGTGGGTGGAGCAGACACTCACAGACAGCTGTCAAGGTAGTCAGACTGTCAGACTTTTGGGTTCAAATGGGTCACACTTTTCTGCTGTTCTCCCCCTCTGATAACTCAAACACCTGTCAGCTCCTTCCTGCAATTATTTCCTCTCTCCTAGTTCAAAGTGAGTTGGAGAAGTTTAAGCCAAAAGCCTTGGTAGAATCACAGACAGTCCTGGAGATTATAGTTATTGGGCCAGATTCAGAGGTAAGGTACGCTAATGTATATGATTAGTTATTAGAAATGCAATCATAATGTAGGCTAGCTAGCCTATTCAATCAATGAATATACCAACAATCCAACAATCAGAAAATAGATAATAACAAAACTGAAAAATCTATTGGTGTGGTGGTATGAAAGGATACAACTTTTGTGTCCTCTTTCTAAGAATGAAGAGACAGATAGGAAGAAGGAGAAGTAGTTGTATGGCATACCTAATGTGGGGCCACCTACACTATTGTACAACACTTTTGCATAATTGAGAGGAGTGAATGAGTGATGGTGAAGCTTGCCTACTCTAGGTCCCGGTGGTGTCCAGCTCTTGATCTTCTGGGGATCAGTCCGAACGGGAAATAGAGCTTGTTGTATGTGACTACTGCCAGCAACCCAGTAAGCCCTTCATAAGCCGCAAACAATTGGAAAATAATCCTGACCTGGAGTTGGTGAGTGTTGCTGAAGATGATGTTTTTCTTCAGACTATCAATTCAAAGCAAATCAATGCAAGTAACAACGGGCCAGTCTAAGCCTTTTGATACTCTTTTCAGAGAGAGACTGGAACGATTGCAGTCTTAGGTTCCTTTATGGCTCCTGGTTTGGATAACATGCTTCTAAGATTGTAGATACAGTTGAAGTCGGAAGTTTACATACAACTTAGCCAAATACAGTTAAACTCAGTTTTTCACCATTTCTGACATTTAATACTAGTAAAAATACCCTGTCTTAGGTCAGTTAGGATCACCACTTTATTTTAAGAATGTGAAATGTCAGAATAATAGTAGAGAGAATGATTTATTTCAGCTTTTATTTCTTTCATCACATTCCCAGTGGGTCAGAAGTTTACATACACTCAATTAATATTTGGTAGCATTGCCTTTAAATTGTTTAACTTGGGTCAAACATTTTGGGTAGCCTTCCACAAGCTTCCCACAATAAGTTGGGTGAATTTTGTCCCATTCCTCCTGACAGAGCTGGTGTAACTGAGTCAGGTTTGTAGGCCTCCTTGCTCGCACACACTTTTTCAGTTCTGCCCACAAATGTTCTATAGGATTGAGGTCAGGGCTTTGTGATGGCCACAATACCTTGACTTTGTTGTCCTTAAGCCATTTTGACACAACTTTGGAAGTATGCTTGGGGTCATTGTCCATTTGGAAGACCCATTTGCGACCAAGCTTTAGCTTCCTGACTGATGTCTTGAGATGTTGCTTCAATATATCCACATAATTTTGTGAAGTGCACCAGTTCCTCCTGCAGCAAAGCACCCCCACAGCATGATGCTGCCACCCCAGTGCTTCACGGTTGGGATGGTGTTCTTCGGCTTGCAAGCACCCCCTTTTTCCTCCAAACGTAACGATGGTCATTATGGCCAAACAGTTATATTTTTGTTTAATCAGACCAGAGTACATTTCTCCAAATAGTACGATCTTTGTCCCCATATGCAGTTGCAAACCGTAGTCTGGCTTTTTTATGGCAGTTTTGGAGCAGTGGCTTCTTCCTTGCTGAGCGGCCTTTCAGGTTATGTTGAAATTGGACTTGTTTTACTGTGGATATACATACTTTTGTACCCGTTTCCTCCAACATCTTCACAAGGTCCTTTGCTGTTGTTCTGGGATTGATTTGCACTTTTCGCACCAAAGTACGTTCATCTCTAGGAGACAGAATGCATCTCCTTCCTGAGCGGTATGACGGCTGTGTGGTCCCATGGTGTTTATACTTGTGTACTATTGTTTGTACAAATGAACGTGGCTCCTTCAGGCATTTGGAAATTGCTCCCAAGGATGAACCAGACTTGTGGAGGTCTACAATTTTTTTCTGAGGTCTTGGCTGACTTCTTTTGATTTTCCCATGATGGCAAGCAAAGAGGCGCTGAGTTTGAAGGTAGGCCTTGAAATACATCCACAGGTACACCTCCAATTGACTGAAATTATGTCAATTAGCCTAACAGAAGCTTCTAAAGCCATGACATCGTTTTCTGGAATTTACCAAGCTGTTTAAAGGCACAGTCAACTTAGTGTATGTAAACTTCTGACCCACTGGAATTGTGATACAGTGAATTATAAGTGAAATGATCTGTCTGTAAACAATTGTTGGAACAATTACTTGTGTCATGCACAAAGTAGATGTCCTAACCGACTTGCCAAAACTATAGTTTGTTGACAAGAAATTTGTGGAGTGGTTGAAAAACGAGTTTTAATGACTCCAACCTAAGTGTATGTAAACTTCCGACTTCAACTGTATGGGTTTGAATTAAGATCTCTTCTACACCCATAGAAGTGCCTTGATTTGATGTTGTGTGTTTGCCTTATTTTTCTACTCAGCTCTTTTACTGTGAACAGGCTCCAACAAATGCAAGAGATTCTCCTGGAATTGGAGTGGGCCTTAGCTGCTGTGGAAGGTGAACAGGAAGATTGATGTGGGCCCTCACCCACCCTTTGTGAGCAAACAGGAGAAGAGAGCTGCAAAGGAGCAGGCAGAGCAGAGGTGAGAGAGGATCTAATTGATGTTATACCCTGTCCAATTTGGTGCCAGCTACTTGAAACCCCCTGCAGTCAGCTCCTCTAATGGAATGATTGTGCGCCTCAATCACCTCTGACTATACATGTGCAATTGGCCCTTCTAAGACTTAAAAGCTAAATGTGGCCAAAGGAACCACTTTCCTGTCAAACGTCTGAGTTTTGGAGATAGGAGGGTGGCTTGGGATCTCGATATTCAGAGAGATTTCCACTTAACCTCCCAAAGTGTCCATCACTCTAACATTTTCACTCTGAGGAAAGCTAACCTCTATTTTAACCAATTTTAACTTCAGGTTGCTGGAATGGGGACTTCAGAGGGTCCAGAATACAGGCAATCAGAACCGCTTTTTCTCAGGTAAGTCCATCTTCACACTCTCACAAAAAACCATTGATACATTAAATAGGCATATATTTTATAATCTAACTGATAAATGAGATACAGTATATTGACTTAGTACTCTCCATGTCATTACTGGGTTATTTTCCTGTGTTTATAAAGGTGGTGGTCAGCTCAAAACCATCTCCTACAGACTGTCCAATGAGGTTTGGATTATCCGAGAGAAGCATTACTTCCCTCAGATGGATATCAGAGACTCCTCAGACATCTTCACCTTCCAGGGGGAGACAGAGAGGCAGAATGTATACAATCTCTGTACTGTCATTGACACCAGCTTCTCTCTTCCCTCTACACCTATGCCCTTACTGTTCAGGTCCATGGACCGTACCATTTAATTAGTGATTTATTTGTTTGTTTTTTAGAGATCACATTTGCTTCTGAGGTTATATCCAACTGGCAAACCCTTCATCACCCTATATCAAGATGGAACGGGTCATGTTTTGTATCCTTTTATTAAAGGCAGAGGCTGTGGATCCGTAGGTAACCGCCCCCTTCCTGCCCCCATGGATCCCTTTTCCCCAGAGCTGAAAATTCTAATCACGTTCTGCGCATGTGTTTCTTTACCTCTACTTCACAAATGTTTTTTTTTTGCATGGGCTGTGTCTCAATGCACCGCATCCGCCAATGGCGGCCTTCCACATCTGCGGTGGAAGGTGGCTGAGCTACAGTGGTGTTTGTCAGACCATGAGACGTCCCGAAAAACCACTGATTGAGAATTTGTATAATGATATTCGAGATAGAGAGAGAGAGAGAGAGAGAGAGAGAGAGAGAGGAGAGAGAGAGAGAGGGAGGAGAGAGAGAGAGGATGAGAAGAGAGAGAGAGGAGAGAGAGATGGTAGAGAGAGAGAGAGGAGAGAGAGAGAGAGAGAGAGAGAGAGAGAGAGAGAGAGAGAGAGAGAAGGCTGCAAAGAGATATATCTCTCTGGTTGGTCAGCCTCATATGCAGCCTTCTCAGAGTCCAGGCAACATAAGCACAAACAAAACATCATTAAAATATGTTAGGATCACTCTGGCCTGCACTCGTATAGTCCCAGTCGGTATTAGATAGAACGTCTGGGCCCTGCCTGCCTGTGTGGAAAACAACCTGTGGTTCCCTTGGTTACCCCTTTGGCTCACAGCAAAAACTTTTTCAAACACAAATTCATTGTTGTCTGCTTGTTTTAGTCAATTACAAACTACATTTAAGAAGAGTACAACATGTCTAAAGATTACTTTTCAGCATTGCCTGCTCCCAAGCATTCCCAAAATGTAATATTGTAGGGCTCCCTCATGCCCCTTTTCGCCACTTGAGTGAGTGCTAGCTAGCTACCAACCGGAACATTAATCTAGCCAAGACCAACTACACAAACAAATGGACTATAATGCTACAAGTAGTGAGTGGAATTACAAACAGACTATACTACACAAGTTAAATGTCTTACCTGTGACTAAATGTTTTCCACACACATAGCTACGTGTAGCCTACTTGGACACTGGGTCCCCACAATTTCCCACTCTCCCACGCTGAATAGCCTGAAGCCACAGGACTCTGCATTGCGAACCGTAGGTCAGGGTTTTTGACCTGGTTACATGTACATTGAATAACACAGCAGCTTTTCGGAATGTTTTGTTATTTCTGTATAACTAAAAATCAACAACGAAGTTGGCTCTTTTACACTGGGGGTCAATGGGAAAGAATGTTTGTTTTCCCCAATTTGTGGGCCTGGTCGAGGGGAATTCCTTATTATTACGTGAATATCGACTTGGAGTATTCCTGTTCATAAGAGTTTGGAATTTTGGAATGTTCAACATTCTTTAGTCAACTGACAGTTGATTCAAGACTCAAAATAACAGTCTGTCAAACCTGGAGGATTTATAAACTGTTTTTCAACTTGAGGTAAGCAAGCAAAGCATTTTAATGTCTAATGTATGTTAATCTAGATGAATATTTTGTCAATATGAAGAAATATGTTATTGACATCTTGTTTTAGCACCACCAAAATGTTATATTGAAGACTCTGTTTAGCTAGCTAGCTAACAACTTGCATTAACTTAATTTAGCTAAATTAGCAAGTAGGCCTACAGTAAAAACAAATATTTAAAAGCAGGTTGTTACATTGTTTCAGTTGCCTATGGAGTCCATGGTGGATCAGAGAGGGGAAGGGATCATGTCAAATGTTTCAACTTCAATGATATCTCAGCTCCATCAACACCTTCATCTACTCTTGCTAAACAGGTGAGACTGCAATTCTGGGCTTTCTTTTGCAGTTTTATTAACCTTTTACTGCAGTGGGCTAAATCAGGGTCACACAGAGTGATTCTTGGTAGTCTTAAACAAATCTACTTTGAAACAAAAGTATACACCCCACTCACATGGATATGGGCTGTAAAGAAAAAGAAGAGACCTGTACCATGTCAGATAGAGTTGAAATGTATTCAATTTTTTGTTTGCATCCAAATATTTCACTTTATATACACTACCGGTCAAAAGTTTTAGAACACCTACTCATTCAAGGGTTTTTCTTTATTTTTTTACTATTTTCTACAGTACATTGTAGAATAATAGTGAAGACATCCAAACTATGAAATAACACACATGGAATCATGTACTAACCAAAAAAGTGTTTTCAAATAGCCACTCTTTGCCTTGATGACAGCTTTGCACACTCTTGGCATTCTCTCAACCAGCTTCACCTGGAATGCTTTTCCAACAGTCTTGAAGGAGTTCCCACATATGCTGAGCACTTGTTGGCTGCTTTTCCTTCAAAAAAATAATAAAGAAAAAACCTTGAATGAGTAGGTGTTCTAAAACATTTGACAGGTAGTGTACATCACAGAAGACTGAAATATAACAAAACTGTTTGACATAGAAACACCGTTTTTCGTCTTTAAAACAATTATAATATATTTATTAATTATTAAAAATATTAATAACATTCCACCCATGAAGCCAAAGAGGGTGCTTTTGGTCATTGAGTGCAGGAAGGGGCTACATAGAGAATACATCTACAGTACATGTTATGTCAAATATATCCCAAACATAAAATATAGAGAAATGTCTGGTCCATTTATTGATTGTTTTGTTTTGTCTTATTGATCAGTGATGCCAACCTCACATGCTGCAGAGTAGATAGAATTTATTTGGATTAACTGATGAAGTAAGTTATGACTGTGCATGTCTCTGAATTTTTTTAAAACATGATAGTTATTGTGTAATGAACACAGTGTCACGATCGTTGAGAGACGGGTCAGACCAAGGCGCAGCGTGGTATGCGTACATATTTATTAATGACAATAAACACTTGATAAAACAACGTAATGTGAAGCTCAAACAATGGCTACACACTAACAAGCCAAACACGAGTCAAGATCCCACAACTAAGGTAGGCAACCAGGCTACTTAAGTACGATCCCCAATCAGAGACAATGAGTGACAGCTGCCTCTGATTGGGAATCACACCCGGCCAAACATAGAGAGATCAACCTACAGTGGGGAAAAATGTATTTAGTCAGCCACCAATTGTGCAAGTTCTCCCACTTAAAAAGATGAGAGAGGCCTGTAATTTTCATCATAGGTACACGTCAACTATGACAGACAAATTGAGGAAAAAAAATCCAGAAAATCACATTGTAGGATTTTTAATGAATTTATTTGCAAATTATGGTGGAAAATAAGTATTTGGTCACCTACAAACAAGCAAGATTTCTGGCTCTCACAGACCTGTAACTTCTTCTTTAAGAGGCTCATCTGTCCTCCACTCGTTACCTGTATTAATGGCACCTGTTTGAACTTGTTATCAGTATAAAAGACACCTGTCCACAACCTCAAACAGTCACACTCCAAACTCCACTATGGCCAAGACCAAAGAGCTGTCAAAGGACACCAGAAACAAAATTGTAGACCTGCACCAGGCTGGGAAGACTGAATCTGCAATAGGTAAGCAGCTTGGTTTGAAGAAATCAACTGTGGGAGCAATTATTAGGAAATGGAAGACATACAAGACCACTGATAATCTCCCTCGATCTGGGGCTCCACGCAAGATCTCACCCCGTGGGGTCAAAATGATCACAAGAACGGTGAGCAAAAATCCCAGAACCACACGGGGGGACCTAGTGAATGACCTGCAGAGAGCTGGGACCAAAGTAACAAAGCCTACCATCAGTAACACACTACGCCGCCAGGGACTCAAATCCTGCAGTGCCAGACGTGTCCCCCTGCTTAAGCCAGTACATGTCCAGGCCCGTCTGAAGTTTGCTAGAGTGCATTTGGATGATCCAGAAGAGGATTGGGAGAATGTCATATGGTCAGATGAAACCAAAATAGAACTTTTTGGTAAAAACTCAACTCGTCGTGTTTGGAGGACAAAGAATGCTGAGTTGCATCCAAAGAACACCATACCTACTGTGAAGAATGGGGGTGGAAACATCATGCTTTGGGGCTGTTTTTCTGCAAAGGGACCAGGACGACTGATCCGTGTAAAGGAAAGAATGAATGGGGCCATGTATCGTGAGATTTTGAGTGAAAACCTCCTTCCATCTGCAAGGGCATTGAAGATGAAACGTGGCTGGGTCTTTCAGCATGACAATGATCCCAAACACACCGCCCGGGCAACGAAGGAGTGGCTTCGTAAGAAGCATTTCAAGGTCCTGGAGTGGCCTAGCCAGTCTCCAGATCTCAACCCCATAGAAAATCTTTGGAGGGAGTTGAAAGTCCGTGTTGCCCAGCGACAGCCCCAAAACATCACTGCTCTAGAGGAGATCTGCATGGAGGAATGGGCCAAAATACCAGCAACAGTGTGTGAAAACCTTGTGAAGACTTACAGAAAACGTTTGACCTGTGTCCTTGCCAACAAAGGTTATATAACAAAGTATTGAGAAACTTTTGTTATTGACCAAATAGTTATTTTCCACCATCATTTGCAAATAAATTCATTAAATATCCTACAATGTGATTTTCTGGATTATTTTTTCTGATTTTGTCTGTCATAGTTGACGTGTACATATGATGAAAATTACAGGCCTCTCTCATCTTTTTAAGTGGGAGAACTTGCACAATTGGTGGCTGACTTAATACTTTTTCCCCCCACTGTAGATCTACAACATAGAAATACACTAACATAGATCTCAACAGAAAACTCACACCCTGACCCAACCAACAAGAGTTCTCTCGATCAGGGCGTGACACACAGCCTATGTTTATTTAGTCAGGATACAAGGATGGAAGACCGCATGTTAGTAACTCAACCCAAGGTAAGCTGTCACCTAGCAAATACATGTGAGAACACTGCATTGCAAAAAAGAACATAACACAGGCAATGTTCACTTATTCCCATGAGAACAGAGTGCTTAACTGATTCATTCTATTTTCAGACTTGACATACGATAAAGCTGGGGTCCTATCTGGTGTCAAACATTAAGCCCTTATGGACGGTAGGGCTTTCTGCTTAGGGTGAGGTATTTATAATTGAAGTACAAGAAAATTGCAGGATTGATGTGATTTTGTTATTGATATTACTGTATATATGATAGCTAATTACTTTTTTCTTTCCAGTCAGAATTTCATAAGGAAGCTCTGTACGTTTGTTCTCTAGCATCATGATGAATAGACACAGTGATTTACGCCTGTAATTTGTCTTCAGATTTGACTTCAAAACAATAAAGATTGGGTCCTACCTCGCCGCCAACATTGAGCCGTACCCCACAGCAAGCCAGAAGGTGACCAAAATATGGGAATATTTTATATGTGTTGGTACTGTACAGTGTTGCTAATCTCATGGACAAGCTCCATCCCATATGGTCTGACTGTTTTCTGTTGTGCTTTTCTCTCCCAGCTCACCCATCCAGAAGGCCTTGTTATGCTGGGGCCAGATATCCTGCAGAAACATCTCCAAATGAAAAGCCTGGAGATTTAATCTCTGCTGGACCAGATTCCGACCAGCATGTCCTACCAGTATTCAGCCAATCCCCACAACATTAAGCCCCATTACAGCATTGCCCAGATGCAGAGACTCAGAAGCAGATGGAAAAACAAACCTTGCCCAAAAAGACCAAAGCACCCATGGCCTCTAAAGAAATATAGTATTGGTAACAACCCAAAGCCTGTGTTGTTTTTGTATAAATCTCGTTGCTATGAAACCAAGGCATTTAGCATTTTACTAACTAGAAAGAAATACAGATGTGTGTAGTTGTGCTAAAATGTTACATGGAAAAGGCAGGTCATGCATCTTGTCAGATACATTTTGAATATATTTTTGTATTAATGGTTGGCCTATTGTAAATGGAATAATGAGCCAACGGTCCACCGAAAAAGAAAATGAGGCACCTCACTCTACACAATCACAAGTAGGCCTAAAAGATGAAGCTGAGGTGCCAACAACCCTTGAACTCACAGTTGAAAACGTGCAGAGGTTAGAGCAGCAGTTTGATGGCACAGAATGGCTGTACAGCAGCAGTCGCAACTTGGAGGGGTATGTGGAGCAATGCAGCCAAATGGACTGGGAGGCCGGGAGAATCGAGGAGATCTGCGAGCAGGATATTAATGGTAGGTCTACTAATATTAGGTACAGTGCCTTCAGAAAGTATTCACACCCCTTTACTTTTTCCACATTTTGTTGTGTTATAGCCTGAATTTAAAAAGGGTTAAATTGAGATGTTTTGTTCACTGGCCTACATACAATACCCCATAATGTCAAAATGAATTTTCAAAATGAAAATCTGAAATGTCTTGAGTTAATAAGTATTCAACCACTTTGTTACGGCAAGGCTAACTAAGTTCAGGAGTAAACATTTGCTTAACAGGTCACAATAAGTCACATGGACTCAATAATAGTGTTTAACATTTACCTCATCTCTGTACCCCACACATACAATTATCAGTAAGATCCCTCAGTCGAGCAGTGAATTTCAAACACAGATTCAACCACAAAGACCTGGAAGGTTTTCCAATGCCTCGCAAAGAAGGGCACCTATTGGTAGATGGGTAAAAAACATTAATTACAGACTTTGAAAATCCCTTTGAGCATGGTGAAGTTATGAATTACACTTTGGATGGTGTATCAATATACCCAGTCATTACAAAGATACATGCGTCCTTCCTAACTCAGTTGCTGGAGAGGAAGGTAACTGCTCAGGGATTTCACCAAGATGCCAATGGTGACTTTAAAACAGTTACAGAGTTAAATTACTAAGATAGGAGAAAACAGAATGGATCAACAACATTTTAGTTACTCCACAATACTAACCTAATTGACAGAGTGAAAAGAAGGAAGCCTGTACAGAATAAAAATATTCCAAGACATGCATCCTGTTTGCAAAAAGGCGCTAAAGTAATACTGCAAGGAATGTGGCAAATAATGAACTTTCTGTCCTGAATACAAATGTTATGTTTGGGGCAAATTCAATACAACACATAACTGAGTACCACTCTCCATATTTTCAAGCATAGTCGTGGCTGCATCATGTTGCATGGGTATGCTTGTAATCGTTAAGGACTGGGGAGTTTTTCAGGATAAAAAATTAACAGAATGGAGCTAAAGCACAGGCAAAATCCTAGAGGAAATCCTGGTTCAGTCTGCTTTCCACCAGACACTGAGGGATGAATTCACCTTCCAGCAGGACAATAACCTAAAACACAAAGCCAAATCTACACTGAAATTGCTTACCAAGAAGACTGAATGTTCCTGAGTGGCCCAGTTACAGTTTTGAAATGGTTGTCTAGCAATGATCAACAACCAATTTGGCAAGACTTACAGCTGTAATCACTGCCAAAGATGCTTCTCCAATTATAGACTCAGGGGTGTGAATTATTATGTAAATGATATATTTCAGAATTGAATTTTCAATAAATTGGCAGAAATTTCAAAAAACATGTTTTCACGTTGTCATTATGGGGTATTGTGTGTGGTAGAGGGGTGAGATTTTTTATTTATTTAATCCATTTTGAATTCAGGCTATAAAACAACAAAATGTGGAATAATTCAAGGGGTATGAATTCTTTCTGAAGGCATAGGTGCAGGTATATAGCCATGAGATAACTAATAAACTCAGAATCTTCAATGCAAATAGGCCATGGCAGGTAGATGGCCATGGTAGACAGACACTTAATTACTCATATGTGCAGTAGCCTTCGGTTAAAATGATAGACTATGACATTTCTGAATAGTCTCTTCAGAGGAGCTGGAACTGCGAGACCACATGAGGACAGCTTCTCAAGATCTGTGCCCACGGTATTTACATAATTTATGTTAAAAGGAATCTTGTGACTTCATTTAAGAGTTGGCATATTATCCCCAAAAAAAAATTCGGCTGAAAAATTAGAAGTCAAAGGAAAAAAATAAAGTGCAATGAGTTTTCATGTTAGTGATATTACTTTGGTTGAACTGAATGCCCTGAACCCCATCTAGGATTGACTCTCCTGAATATGTGGAGGTCTATGCATTCGATGGCAGAGTCATCTCCAGAATCAGCACGAGGACACAAACAGACTGGGATTGGGTGGACCAGAGGAGACATGAGGAGAGTAGCCAAGGTAAGAGAAAGTGTCATTTTACTGTACAGTGGAGTAACGTTATAATTACTATGGGAGAGATGATTGGTGATTGTTATAGGTCAGACTCCAGAATTATGCTGATCTTCAAAGTGGAGCATGTTGCTTACTTAAGTCGTCTACTTTATTTTCTCTTGACAAATTCTTCCTTTGCAGTCAACATTCAGTCAGAAGAAGTGACTCCAAAACCTGCAGAGGAATCAGGGACCCCCTTGGAATGTGTGGATACAACACTTGACTCTACAATGCTTGAGGTAGCTAGGCAAAACAAGGATGTTTAAAAAGAAGGCCCTCACTATGACCAATGTAGTACATTTCACTTGAAATGTGATCCAAGAAATTGCTATTGCCTGTCTCTGAGAAGTCCCTGAAGTGCTCCAAGTGTGCGCTTTGTGTTGAGAGGAAAAGTCTACATCTTCATCTAGGGCCATTTTAATTGTTACCAATTTAACAGGCATCCACATCGAAGATTAGCATAACTGTAGATACAATATCCAGAAATCTGGAGTTTCTCAGTTTTCACTTATTCATGATGAGCAAAGTGGGCACTTCTGTTGAGAGTTTAGTAAATGATGAACAGCCTTTGTTGTCTCTATTTAGAATATTCCTAAAAACAAGGACCTGGAGATGAATATGTCCCTCGATAATGAAGTATTGGATACTCTCAGCAAGGATCCCCAAACTCCCACAGCGTACAGAGTAGAAACTAAACAGTCACCAACACATTTTGACATGGTAATGTTTTTTATTATCACCGTTGGATTGTTTTATATAACTTTCTCAATATAGTTTTTTCTAAGTACATTATGGCTTAACCTATTCAACTCAACACTGTCGCGACACAGTTATACACTGATAACTGCAGTACACATATTATAATTTCTTGCAGCATATTTGCATACAATATTTTTAGAAAGTAGTGTACCCTTGGTACATAGGCCACTGGCTTGATGGACATGCCTAAAAGTGACAGGTTTAGTGCACCGTACTGGATGTTGTCAACCGAGCTGAATGCCTGATCTCCTTCTAGATCAGATGGGCATCCAGCTCAGACTCATCAGGGGAGATGCTGGAGAGTGAGTTGGACTCTATTCCCTGTGAGTACTGCCTGCAGCCCAGGAAGCCCACTGTGACCAGAGACCAGCTAGTCAACAATACGGACCCAGAGGAGGTGAGGCCTTCACAAACCACATAATGCTCTCACACAAATCTTATACAGCCAATAAGGACAAACCTTTTGGGTGAAACTGAAATTCACTGTAAGATTAGTCACCATGGAAATAAGATCCATGGCTTGATACTTTCATATCTCTATTAGAGGCAGAGCCATGTCGTAGGTTTACCTGTCACTTAGATTGCTAAACAAATCACCTTGACGTAATTTTAGATGTCAAAATCAATTAGATTATACATGAATCATGTTTTTATATATATAACTTTGTGTATTTATATCATACAGTTTTTATTCAATTGAAAAGGCATTTCAACAAATTGGATGTTAATTTCTAAAAGAGGCATGTTTGGGATATCTCTTCCTCTGATGGGTTTGACATGTTTTTTGTTCTTCCTGTCAGTTGTTTTGTTGTGAGTTGGCCTGGAGGATGAATACGTTTCTGATGGAGGAGGAGGAGGCGGCTTTCGCTGCGATCCAGGAGAGCAGGAAGATTGATGTAGGCCCTTACCCACCCTTCAAGAAGGCTGCAAGGGACCGGGCAGAGCAAAGGTCATGACCTGTCTCTCGTATGATTGATGGGGCACTAAAAAGATCACAATACAATACACTCGAATTTACTGTAACTTTGATATGATATACCGCAGCACTTCTTTAAAACATCACTGAAATCTTAATGGTACTGTTCTCAAACATCAGGTTGAAAGAATGGGAGAATCAGAATTGCCTGTTTTCAACTAAACAAAGTAAGTCTACTCACAAGGTCACCACCCCTTTGTTACATGAAATGTATTATATAATTCTTTAAGATACTGAAAGTTGTTTGGAATCCACTGATTAAAGTGAAAAACTTTTAATATAATAGAGACAGACATCTTAGGCTGGTGGACTTTATTGACATTTACCTCATTGTGTTGATGCTTTTAACATTGCAGGATCTAAAGTTAACTTGCGTAACACCATTTGCTATCGACTTTCAAATGAGGTCTGGACTGCAGAGAAGGAAGACCTATTCGCCAAAATGGAAATCATTGATTCTCCAGACACTCTCACACTTTATGGAGAAGAACAAGGACATAAGGTATACTAACTGAACTTTTAATGACGATTTTCAGCACGGGTGATGTTAACAAATAGATTAGCTCACTCAATATACTTCAGTGAGGGCCAATGGCTTGTACAGTACATGTCAATTCATGATTGCTGTTTGATTTTACAGCACACACTAATCAAGCTCTATGAGAGTGGTCAATCATTTGTCACCATATTTCCAGATGGAACAGGACAGGTTTTGTATCCTTTTGGAGAGATTACTCGGAAAATGTATTCAAAATATTTAAGACATTTATTTTGAGTTATATGTTGTATAATGTTTTTAAAAGTATTGATGATTAGAGAGTAAGCAGGGGGGTCGGATCATTGACCATAATGGAGTGAAAGCTATCCATCAGGAAGACTTGCCGTTCTCATATTTGCTGTCCATGGTGCTGATTACACCTATGTGATACAGGAGGACAAAGATCTGGTACCCAACATCCAGGCCGTCTTTACATCCAGGGGCCAGGCCACCTGCTATCATCCCAATGGTCTTATATGGTATGTACAGTTGAAGTCGGAAGTTTATATACACTTAGGTTGGAGTCATTAAAACTCGTTTTTCAACCACTCCACACATTTCTTGTTAACAAACTATAGTTTTGGAAAGTCGGTTAGGACTTCTACTTTGTGCATGACACAAGTAATTCCAACAATTGTTTACAGACATATAATTCACTGTATCACAATTCCAGTGGGTCAGAAGTTTACATACACTAAGTTGACTGTGCCTATAAACAGCTTGGTAAATTCCAGAAAAGGATGTAATGGCTTTAGAAGCTTCTGATAGGCTAATTGACATCATTTCAGTCAATTGGAGGTGTACCTGTGGATGTATTTCAAGGCCTACCTTCAAACTCAGCGCCTCTTTGCTTGACATCATGGGAAAATCAAAAGAAATCAGCCAAGACCTCAGAAAAAAATTGTAGACCTCCACAAGTCTGGTTCATTCTTGGGAGCAATTTCCAAATGCCTGAAGGTACCACGTTCATCTGTACAAACAATAGTACGCAAGTATAAACACCATGGGACCACGCAGCCGTCATACCGCTCAGGAAGGAGACAAATTCTGTCTCCTAGAGATTAACGTACTTTGGTGCGAAAAGTGCAAATCAATCCCAGAACAACAGCAAAGGACCTTATGAAGATGCTGGAGGAAACAGGTACAAAAGTATCTATATCCACCGTTAAACAAGTACTATATCGACATAACCTGAAAGTCCGCTCAGCAAGGAAGAAGCCACTGCTCCAAAACCACCATAAAAAAGACAGACTACGGTTTGCAATTGCACATGGGGACAAAGATCGTACTTTTTGGAGAAATGTCCTCTGGTCTGATGAAACAAAAATATAACTGTTTGGCCATAATGACCATCATTATGTTTAGAGGAAAAAGGGGATGAGGCTTGCAAGCCGAAGAACACCATCCCAACCGTGAAGCACGGGGGTGGCAGCATCATGCTGTGGGGGTGCTTTGCTGCAGGAGGGACTGGTGCACTTCACAAAATAGATGGCATCATGAGGAAGGAAAATTATGTGGATATTTTGAAGCAACATCTCAAGACATTAGTCAGGAAGTTAAAGCTTGGTCGCAAATGGGTCTTCCAAATGGACAATGACCCCAAACATACTTCCAAAGTTGTGGCAAAATGGCTTAAGGACAACAAAGTCAAGGTATTGGAGTGGCCATTACAAAGACCTGACCTCAATCCTATAGAACATTTGTGGGCAGAACTGAAAAAGCGTGTGCGAGCAAGGAGGCTTACAAACCTGACTCAGTTACACCAGCTCTGTCAGGAGGAATGGGCCAAAATTCACCCAACTTATTGTGGGAAGCTTGTGGAAGGCTACCCGAAACGTTTGACCCAAGTTAAACAATTTAAAGGCAATGCTACCAAATACTAATTAAGTGTATGTAAACTTCTGACCCACTGAGAATGTGATGAAAGAAATAAAAGCTGAAATAAATCATTCTCTCTACTATTATTCTGACATTTCACATTCTTAAAATAAAGTGGTGATCCTAACTGACGTAAGACAGGGAATTTTTACTAGGATTAAATGTCAGGAGTTTTGAGAAACTGAGTTTAAATGTATTTGGCTAAGGTGTATGTAAACTTCCGACTTCAACTGTATAGTTACATGCCCACAAAAGTTCTAGCAGGAGGCGAGGCCATGACTGCACCAGTGAGAGGAACCAATTAAGTTCCTGACTAGCAACAGAGATGTGTTGGCTGTCTAGATGTGCAAGGAGTTTACTTCTCCTAGTAGGAGGGTATAAATATATGTGCTTGCACAAACATGTATTTTTCTTTGTAGCTGTTTGACCCAGTGGGTGAATAAACTTGGTTTGAGCTTTTTCCATTTGAGTTTTTACTCTGTGTAGAACCTAACAACACGAGAAACTGCTGAGAGTGAAAAACCCAGCAGTGTTGCAGTTCTTGACTCACTCAAACTGGTGGGCCTAGCACCTACTACCATACCCCGTTCAAAGGCACTTAAATATTTTGTCTTGCCCATTCACCCTCTGAATGGCACACACACACAATCCATGTCTCAATTGTCTCATGGCTTAAAAATCCTCTACACTGATTGAAGTGGATTTAACAAGTGACATCAATAAGGGATAATAGCTGTCACCTGGATTCACCTGGTTAGGCTATGTCATGGAAAGGGCAGGTGTTCCTAATGTTTTGTACACTCCCTACAGAAAGTTTCAGAGGTTTCATTTCGAGGGTATGGTCTACGAGTTTCTGGTCCTGCCTTTCAGGCTCTCCCTATCCCCTGCACCTTTTCTATGGTGGTGGAGGCGGCTTTGACACCGGTGTGGTGCCAGGGGATCAGAGTATTGGCCTATCTGGATGATTGGCTAGTCGTAGTGGAGTCGAAGGAACAGGTGGAGCGCCACACTGCCACGCTGGTTTCCCATATTCAGTCTCTGGGGTTCATAGTGAATCACAAGAAAAGTTGTTTGACTCCGACTCAGCACATTCAGTTTCTGGGTCTCGTTCCGGACTCGATTCTAAATTATGCGTTTCTGGTCCAACAGAGGAGGGTCGCATTACGGCTCTGTCTGGCACAGTTTCAGTTGGGGCACTCTGTGCCTTTTACCTTGTACCTGCGGTTATTGGGTCTGATGATGATCAATCAATCACATTCATTCATAAAGTCCTTTTTACATCAGCAGATGTCACAAAGTGCCATACAGAAACCCAGCCTAAAACCCCAAACAGCAAGCAATGCAGATGTAGAAGCACGGTGGCTAGGAAAAACTCACTAGAAGGGCAGGAACCTAGGAAGAAACCTAGAGAGGAACCAGGCTCTGAGGGGTGGCCAGTCCTCTTCTGGCTGTGCCGGGTGGAGATTATAAGAGTACAGATTGTTCTTCAAAAAGTTCAAACGTTCATAGATGACCAGCAGGGTCAAATAATAATCACAGTGGTTGTAGAGGGAGCAACAGGTCAGTACCTCAGAAGTAAATGTCAGTTGGCTTTTCATAGCCGAGCATTCAGAGGTCGAGACAGCAGGTGCGGTAGAGAGAGAGAATCGAAAACAGCAGGTCCGGGACAAGGTAGCACGTCCGATGAACAGGTCAGGGTTCCCCAGCCGCAGGCAGAACAGTTGAAACTGGAGCAGCAGCATGACAAGGTGGACTGGGGACAGCCAGGAGTCATCAGGCCAGGTAGTCCTGAGGCATGATCCTAGGGCTCAGGTCCTCCTGGAGGGGAGGGAAAGAGGGAGAGAGAGAGAATTAGAGGGAGCATACTTAAATTCACACAGGACAACAGATAAGACATGAGAATTACACCAGATATAACAGACTGACCATAGCCCCCCGGCACATAGACTATTGCAGCATAGACACTGGAAACTGAGACAGGGGTGGGTCCGGAGACACTGTGGCCCCGTCCGACGATACCCTGGACAGGGCCAACCAGGCAGGATATAACCCCACCCACTTTGCCAAAGCACAGCTCCCACACCACTAGAGGAATATCAACAGACCACCAACTTACTACCTTGAGACAAGGCTGAGTATAGACCACGAAGATACCCACTGATATCTTTCTGACAGATAAAGTTATGCGTTTGTTTCAGTGCTGGGTGATTGCTACTCGTCTGGGCGCATCTCACCACTGCCATCAGTTGCTCAATGTATCTCCGTCATGCCTAAGAGAGTTGACTCCTTAGAGGCACCCGCGACTGCTGTTGCAGGGGGTTCTCATGGGCTGGGTTGTGTCCCGCAGGGGGATCATGACAGATGCATCCTTACTGGGATGTGGAGTGCTGTGTGTGGGCTAGTCAGAAAGAGGGACCTAGAGCTACTGACTGTTTTGCTAGCGTTGAGGCGTTTTCTTCCGATATTGGAGGGCCAGCATGTGTTGGTAAGGTCCGACAACAGGACGGCGGTGACGTACTGTACATCAACAGGCAGGGGGGGACGCGGTCTCTCTCTCTCTGCTAAACTTGGCCTGTTATCTGCTATATGGAGGAGTGCGCATTTCCTGTCACTCAGGGCGACGTATCTTCCCGGATCTCAACGTGGGTGCGGATCTACTTTCCAGGGGGGTCCTATCTCTACGGAGTGGAGACTGCTCCACTCGGTGGTTGTCCAGATATGGGACCAGTTCGGCAGGACCGACATAGATAATTACACATTGTGAGAAAACGCGCATTATCGTCTGTTCTTCTCAATGAGGGATCTGAGTGCTCCGTTGGGAACGGATGCTTTGGCGTATCAGTAGCCTCGGACCCTGCTCTTTGCATTTCCTCCGGTGGACCTGATTCAGGCCACTGTGGAGAGGGTCCGTCAGGAGGGTCTGTTGTTGATTCTGGTGGCTCCCCATTGGCCCAGACAACCCTGGTTCCTGGAGATCATCCGCCTGTTGGGCGGGGACCTGTGGGTTTGGCCACTGAAAAGTTGAAATTGACGGCTAGTGGTTTACCCTCGAACAGGATTATGACTATACAGTCGTTGCGTGCGCCCTCTACGAGAAGGTTGTATACATATAAGTGACGCGCGTTAGAGGGTTGGTGTCAGGTTAAAGGAGATTCTCCTTTTCAGAGCTCTTTGGTGGAAGTGGTTATGTTCTTGCAAGAGTTTTTTGAGGTGGGCCTTTCTTTTTCCACTTTGAAGGTCTATATGGCAGCCATCTTGGCATGTCATGTAGGGGTTGACGGCTCTACCCTGGGGTCTCCTCCTCTGGTGGTGCGGTTCCTGAAAGGTGTGCATCGGCTCAGACCAGTGTCTAAGCCTATGGCACCGACCTGGGACCTGGCTTTGGTCTGGTGTCGGCCAAGCACGTTGGTGATCTCCATCTCCATCAGTACACCCTCCCCATTTTGAGTTCGCGCCTGGCTACTCAAAAGTGATGTTATGTCCTAAAACAGCTTTTGCTCCCAAGGTTATGCCTATGTCTTACAGGTCCCTGGCTTTTGAGCTGTTCCATTTCTCGCCTTCTCTGTTTCCTTCTAGTGAACAACGGCGGTTCCATGGCCTGTATCAAGTATGCGCTTTACACACGTATATGGATAGGACTGCGTTTGTGACCAGATTCCCTAATCCAGCTCGTGGTAGGGTGCTTTCCAAGCAGCGTCTTTCTCATTGGATTGTGGAGGCTATCTCCCTGAAATATGACAGCAAAGGACAAGGGTTGCCTAGCGGTGTGTGTGCTCTCTCCACTAGAGGTGTGGCGGCTTCCTGGGCATTGTTCAGGGGCATGACGAGTGGTGATGTCTGTGCTGCAGTGAGTTTGGGTTCCCCACATACCTTTTTCCCAGTGTGGCTCATAGTGTTCTTATGGCTGGGTCCGAGAGTGGGTGTTAAGCAGTGCGCAGGTTGCACATTTATCCGGGTAACACAGTTTCCTGTGGGTTTGAGCGATTGCAGCACGCGAGTACAGTTTCCAGGTCACTGCAAGTTTCCTGTGGGTTTGAGCCTCGGGCTGCCGTGGTTCATCAATTCTGGTCCCTGCTATGCAGCGTGTGTGCTTTACCAAGTCACGACAAGTATTCTGTTGTTTTGGACTTGCGGTCCCTTGTACGAGTTCTGACATTTCAGGCTTGTAAGGTAAGTGTTATTCTTGGAACCGTGGAGCCTATGGACTTGGGCTGCAGTGGCAGCTTGTCAGTGTGCATAACCAAGTTGCAGCAGGTTCTGGTTGAGGCTTTGACAGTTCAGGCTTCTCAGGTAAGTATTAGGGAAAAAGGTGGCTTCTTTAACTTTTGGAGACGATGGAACCTGTGCGTGCTTGGGCTGCCGTGGGCCTCCTAGTTTGGTACCCTCTGGGCCGGCTTTGGACGTGATTGTATGTCCCCATAGTATGTTATACTGAGTGACCGACTGAAAGGGAACTTACAGTTTTGAATATAACTACTGTCCCCTGAAGGAGGGAACGAGGTATAACATATTTTGGTCCCGCGCTGTCAGAGGGTTTGGGCTCGCTGAAGAGCGGCACTGAATTGAGGAAATTAATGCAAGCCCAGCATTATAGCCAGGAAGGTGGGGCTTCTGAGGGTGGGCTCAGCATCCATTGGCCCGTTGGGCGTTTTCTTCAGGTGAATATGATTGGTTGTTGACTCCTCATAGTATGTTATACCTCATTCCTTCCTTCAGGGAACAGTAGTTATATTCATAATTGTACATTTGTGTGTTTTGTTTGCTTGGTTGGCAGGGTGAACCTGACCCAGCTGGGAGGCTCCTGCTGTAGTGACACCGGTGCTCTGAGGAGGCGCTGGAGTTGGCTGGACCACGAGCCCCACGTCCACGCCCCTCCCTTCCAGCCCATCTGTCTGACCCTCAGCCCCAACATCAGCCTCCGCATCCAGAACCAGGACTGCATCTACCTCACCTTCACCTCTCGCAAAAACAGTGTGAGGTTCAACGTGGGGGCCAAACTCAAGGTGAGACACTGACTGTCCATTAGATTCAATACAGACACCAGATGATAGTGGCGTACATTACTCTAATCATGGGAGAAGCACAGGAGAATACAGTGCTTTATAATGAGCACTGAAGTGGATCACAGTTGTCACATCCTTTCCACAGCTCTCTACTAACACCCACTCATATCAGGGCTGATCACTTTGTTTTTTCCCCAGCTGGAGCACTTGAAGGGCCTGATGTTGCCTGGGCCAGACCTGGACCAGAGACACCTCCACATGAAGAGTGCAGAGATCTGCAACCTTCTGCAGAGGATCCAGGGCTATATCACCTACCAACAGGCCCCAAGTCCACAGAAGGTCACGCCCCAATACAGTCTGGTCTCTCAAATGGAGAGACTGAAGACACCTCTGGACAAGCACCGCTCAGTCAAGAAGAGAGTTCAGATAGCTACCAAAGCCATATCATTTATTTTTCATTAAATTATATTGGATACAGCAACTTGCTTTGTCTCGAAAACGTTTTTTAAAAGGTTTTGCAATTAAAATTGCACAATGAGACAATAGTGCTTTTGTATAGTGTGAACAATGAGGCAAGGACAGCAGATATACTAATTTGTCATCCTTTTTAATCAGATTGCTCATGGATAAATACAGTAGTTACACTATACACACACACTTCTATACAGAGGATGCCAAAGAAAATGCTGCAGTTAAATTTTAATTAACCTTGTAATTCATTGAATGTGGGAGTAGCATTAGGCAAATGTACCCATAATATATTAAATTTCTGAGTAAGACCACTGACTTCTCCATTCCTTTACAGTGCAAAACTGCTCCAGTCAAAAGTCCATTAACGCCAGGCCATAGAGTAGAAGTTCTCAAGCATCCCAAATACAAAAGAAAAGGTTAAAAAAACACATTCTCAGGGTACGTTTTTACATGTATGCAAGAAGTTGAAAAAAATAAACACCCATGGAGAGAGAGCAGGTGGAAGAAGTATCCTTTGGAAACCACTGACATACAGTAAAACAGAAGGGTGCCTTTATTAAAAACAGACCAAGGGAGCCATGTTGAAACCTGAGAGCCCTGCAGCACAGGCTGTCATAGACCAGAGATCTCCATGTCCATAGAGAAAGGCGTAGAGACGTTACATATCGTGCAGCATGTTTTCTTTTCATTCCGTCTCTCAATCCATTAACAAATTAAGCATAAATGTGGCGGCTGCTCGTCGCTCATTACCTTCCTGACTGAATAAACGTTTATCTCCTCTATTAGCCTGGTTAGAGCGTCCTTATTCCAGCCGCTCAACATTCACCCTCGTTTCCCATTTGCTACACTCACTGAATGTGCCAACTTAACTCTTGACTCAGAACAATTTTTATTACGATAAGAGAAATACAGTTGATATAGCCAATAACCCTAGTCTGTGTGGATCTCTCCCACATAAAAGTAAGCCCAACACCTTTAAAGTTTAGTTGAACAAATTGATTCAAGATCAGTACCAAAAAGAAAGTCTTAATTTCACCTGATCCTACCAACTGAGTGATTGAATGGCTAACTAGACAATTACATGTTCGGAAGCTGTTGGTTGTGTCAGTGTTTGGGGTATCTTTGGCCTTGTGTAGGATCTTTGCACCCCTGCTGTCTTCCTAGGCAGGCCCGAGGGCTAAAGACTAGCACAGTCCTTCTCCTAGACTTTTGCTCCACGAACTCCAGGTCTGGCCAGGTCAGGACTGGATTAACACTGCTGTCCACCCTTCTGACCAGGCCTTCAGGTTACTTATTCACAGACAACAGCAGGTTAATCTGAAGGAGAGAGAGAGCATGAACACAGTGAGGGCTCACTCCGCTAACAACATCCAGCATGAATTTGAATGTCACTCCAGACACCACTACACACAGTGAAAACCTGAATAAACCAAGGTTGAATAAATACACTTGAAAAAAGACCTTGAGATCCAACAGCCATCTCCAGTAAGAGATACACCTTGCCCATGGTTATGATTTTGTAAGTGTAGCCAGTACAAGCCTTACCTGTTCCATAGAAGGGCAAGCGATGATCTGAAGGTCCTCGCCACTGTATTCCTCCTGAAGCAAGGCGTGCAGTCTCTGGAACACCTGCTGGATGTTGTTCTGTGGGAGAAAACAGCAGGTTAGTCAGAAAGCTGCTAGAGAGAAATTACACAGTCGCTGGTCCCCTTTGATCCCAGTTGCCATGTCAAAGCGTTATTGTGCACTTAGATTCACTTACTGTAGATTAGCACCTAGCTGTGCACAAAGAGCCATTATTTATCTTTAATAAGCAGGAACGATGCTTAAAAAGGTAATTGCGCATTGCTCAGCCTGAGCACCTGCTGAAAATATCCTATTTGTTTTGTAGAGGTGTACTAAAACCCCTATGCACTCATGTTACTCTACAGGGTTAGCCTGGCCTAAGATCTGTTTGTGTCAACTTTGGCAAGACAGCACAAACAGATCTGGGACCAGGCTAGTACAGGGTTGGGGAAAGGAGAAGGAGAATTTAAACTCCACTGTCTAACAGACACCCACCCGGACAGGCTTGAAGAGGATAAACTCGGTGTCTCTGTTGGCCAGGTACAAGGACATGCTCTGTAACGTGCTTGGCAGCTTGTTCTTCATCACCCGGTAGGTAGCCATCACTATGTCATTGATCTTGGCTAAAAGGGGAGAGAGAGTCATTTTTCAGTTCCAAGCCTTCCTTCCACCACATGATTTAGAGGTTTCACTGAAAGATGATCATACTGTTTCTTACCTGGCTGTGCCCAAGGTTGTTGGGAGAGGTTGTACGTGGGACCTCCTTGGATCGCCATGGTTTTCAGAGCAGACACCTGAAACAACACAAGACAATTTCCCATCTTCCTCAGTCAAGGACAACGTGAGTTAATCTTGACTATAAATCCTATTCTAGATTGTGGAAGGAATTTATTGATAGTGCTATATACAGGTACCTGCCAAAATAAAGGAAACACTTGAGTAAATGAGGGACACAAAGTATAGTAGGTGCTTTCACACAGGTGTGGTTCCTGAACTAATTAAGCAATTAACATCTTATCATGCTTAGGGTCATGTATACAAATGCCCAGTTGCCCATTATTTTGGCAACCATGGCTGGAAGAGATCTCACTGACTTTGAAAGAGAGGTCTCAAAGGAGCATAGGGGTTTTAAAGTGTGTGTATGTCTAAGTCACCAGATCCCAACCCAATTTAACACGTATGGCAGATTCAAGACCAAATTATGGAATTTCTCATGGAAGAATGGTGTCGCATCCCTCCAATAGAGTTCCAGACACTCTGTAGAATCTATGACAAGGTGCATTGAAGCCGTTCTGGCAGCTTGTGGTGGCCCAGCGCCCTATTAAGACACTTCATGTTGGTATTTCCTTTATTTTGTCAGTTACCTGTAAGTCCAATTCATTATAACCACTTTAATACTGTATGACTTTTAATACTGTATGAGAAAGACCATGGATGATTGGCACTGAGTAGATTCAGAAAAGAAGGTCACAATGTTTTAAAAAGAAACCCATCACATTTGAAAAGGCCTAGATTCCAATAGAATAAGATTCACCTTTGAATAGCCCTTTATCTTTCAGTTTTACTGCACAAAACTATGACCTTCAGTCAGTAATCAGTGAATTACCAGAAAATGAAAAGAGAAAGCCAGAGGTCATGTTTTTGAAGTCTGAGCCTCAGGCTGTCTGTCCTCTCCTCTCTGTCAGACTGACACGTTACCTTGGTGAGAAACTCCTCCAGATTCCCAACAAAGAGGTGAGTCTGCTGCTGGATGAACTGCTCACAGCTGAACTTCAGGTGGCGGTCCACGTCCTTCTTCGAATCTATGTAGTGCTCCTTTATCTCCGGTGAGCCCTGACGTCCATCAGAGAGAGAGGGGTTAGTAACTAGTAGATTAAAAATTACATATAGGGCCAGGTTTTCCTGACATAGAAAAACAATTCCTGGTCCTATGCCTTGCAAAAGTATTCAGACCCCTTGGATTTCTTCACCTTTATTGTTTTACAAAGTGGGATTAAAATGTCATTTTTTGTCAACAATTTACAAAAAATACTCTGATGTCAAAGTGGAAGAATATTTATTTTTAAGATCAATTAATTACTAAAATACAGTCATTGCATAAGTATTCAGCCCTTTTCTTTAGGCAAGCCTAAATTATTTATATCTGGATCAACAAATCACATAAATTACATGGACTCACTCTGAAATAATAGTGGTTGACATGATTTTTGAATGACTAACCCTTCCTCTGTCCCCCATACATACAGTACCAGTCAAAAGTTTGGACACACCTACTCATTCAAGGGTTTTTCTTAATTTTTACATTGTAGAATAATAGTGAAGACATCAAAACTATGAAATAACACATATGGAATCATGTAGTAACCAAAAGAAAGTGTTAAACAAATCAAAATATTTTTTATATTTGAGATTCTTCAAAGTAGCCACCCTTTTCCTTGATGACAGCTTTGCACACGCTTGGCATTCTCTCAAACAGCTTCATGAGGTAGTCACCTGGAATGCATTTCAATTAACAGGTGTGCCTTCTTAATGCGTTTGAGCCAATCAGTTGTGTTGTGACAAGGTAGGGGGGTATACAGAAGATAGCCCTATTTAGTAAAAGACCAAGTCCATATTATGGCAAGAAGAGCTCAAATAAGCAAAGAGAAACAACAGTCCTTTTATGAAATTTTGATTTGTTTTAACACTTTCTTGGTTACTACATGATTCCATATGTGTTATTTCATAGTTTTGATGTGTTCACTATTATTCTACAATGTAAAAAATTGTACAAATAAAGAAAAACCTTTGAATGAGTAGGTGTGTCCAAACGTTTGACTCGTACTGTATATCTGTAAGGTCTCTCAGTCAAGTATTGCATTTCAAGCACAGATTTAACTACAAAGACCAGGGAGCATTTCGAAAGCCTCGTAAAGAAGGGCAGTGGTTGGTAGATCGGTAACAATAACAAATCAGACATTGAATTTCTCTTTAAGCATGGTCAAGTTAATAATTATGCTGTGGATTATATATTAAACCACCCAGACACATCAAAGATACAGTCGTCCTTCTGAACTGAGCTGCAGGACAGCAATGAAACTGCTCAAGGATGTTTCCATGAGGCCATTGATGATTTTAAAAACAGCTACAGAGTTCAATGTCTGTGATGGTAGAAAACTAAGGATTGATCAACAACATTGTAGTGACTCCACAATAATGGCCTCAATGACAGAGTGAAAAGAATATACAGAATAAAACTATTCCAAAACTAAAGTAAAACTGTAACAAAACAAGAAAATACACAGCAAATTAATACACTTTTTGGCCTAAATGCAAACCCTTATGTTTGGGGCAAATCCAACACAACACATCACTGAGTAACTGCCTCCTTATTTTCAAGCATGGTGGTGGCTGCATCATGGTATGGGTATGCTTGACATTGGCAAATACTGGGGAGTTTTTCCAAGATAATAATAAACAGGATGGAGCTAAGCACAGAGCAAAACCTGCTTCAGTCTGCTTTACACCAGAGACTGGGAGAGTAATTCACCTTTCAGCAGGACAATAACCTACAACACAAGGCCAAATCTACACTGGAGTTGCATACCAAGAAGACAGTGAATGTTTCTGAATGTCCAAGATACAGTTTTGACTTAAATCAGCTTGAAAATCTATGGCAAGCCTTCAAAATTGCCATCTCGACATGATCCCCAACATTTTGACAGAGTTTGAATTTTGAAAATAATAAATGGGCAAATATTGCACAATCCAGGTGTGCAAAGCTCTTACAGACTTACCCAAGAAGACTCAGCTGTAATTGATGCCAAAGGTGTTTCTAACATATATTGCCTCAGGGAGCTGAATACTTATGCAACGACTATATTTTAGTCATTTAATATCTAGTAATCTATTTTTTTTTTTTTTAAATCCTCCACTTTGACGTTCGAGAATTTTGTATAGATTGTTGAAAAAAAACAAATACATTTTTTATCTCACTTTGTAACACAAAATCTGAAGAAATCCAAGGGGCCTGAACACCATTGCAAGGCACTGTATATGTATTCTATATTTAAACCAAATCAAAAACTTTACCTCCAATAGAAATTCTAGGATAGCGTTGTGGCTGTTGAGTCTGAAGAAACCAGGAACAGATTTGGGGTTCATCATTTTGAAGGCAGCATCTGATTTGACAGACAAAATAAATGATTCATCTTGCTGAAGAAGGATTAGAGTGCCCTCTAGTGTTACAAATTAAATACGACCATGGCTGAAATGAGTACTAGAACAGGAGCACCTCTACCAAAAGCTACAGGTTATACAGTAACTCAAGTTATTACCACTTTTATAATAGTCATATGTGCATTTGATGGACACAACGGGCATCCCCCACTGATTATGACAGGTTTTATGGAGCCAGAACAGACATCCACTGGCCTCTACTCTCCCTCCTCACTGTCTCACCTCTGGTTCTCTTCAGATCCAGAGAGATCTCCTTGATGGCAAAGTCTGTGTGGAAGGGAGCGATCTGTTCCCTCATGATCAGCAGGTGTTTGATCAGAAACAGCTGACCGTCTACCTGCGTCTGGACAAGATGAAGCCATACCGCTAACTATAACATCTGAATAATCCAAATGTAACCTTGTCCCAAAAACAAAACTAGTATTGACCCATTTATAGAGGAAAGAAATACTAACATGCTATCGTAAAGGCTACAGTTGTGTTTCTCAATTACACCATATACAGTCAGAAACGTATAATCCAACGCATTGCATTGTATTGTCTAAAGAATTAAAATCTGCACCAACCTTGTTTTTCAGGATGACATCGGACGCTTTGAGCAGGGACTGGATGCAGGCAGATAAGGCCTCTTGCGATAAGCCCTGGAAGACTGCTCTCTGCAGGGCCAAGAAATCCAATGCATCAACATGGGGACAACCCGGGAGGATGGCAGATTAAAGAGATCAGGAGGACAGGTCAAATACTATCATGAAATGGACTAGGCTCATGATTCATTCATATGACTATCTTTTGTCTTCTTCAGATGCGTATCATATGTTCTCATATTTCGAAGAGTAAACATGCAAAATGCCAGATAAGCCAAGTACTCACATCTATGCACCTATAGAGCTTGGACAAGCAGACCAGTGTCCGTCTGACTGTGGGGTACCACATGCCATGCAGGTCAGCGGGAGAGATGGATGGCTGCAAGCGGGACGAGTCTATACTACCTGTGCGCAAGGAAAAGAAAGGAGGGCAGAAAGGTACAACAGTAAGACTTATGTACAGAATGCACTATTCACAACTTATGAAGATAAGATATCGCTTTACACTGTCATTTGTAAACACTGACTTGCGTTACTGGCTCTCCTGCCCTCTGGATCTTCAAGCTGCACATCTGAGAATGACGACTCCTGGGCCATTAGCTTCATCTGCTCTTCCTTCAGGCTCTGGGCAATTTTCTGTAACCCCATGAGACAGAAACAGAGAGATGGATTATGAACTGTGTCTTTATTTTGTATCGAAGACAGCTGCAGGTAGGACTTGCCCATAGGCACAGATCTAGGATCAGCACACCTTCCCCAAATCTTAACCTTAACCATTAGGGGGGGTTGTAATAGGAATTACTAGGTGAACAAAAGTGAAGAGCAGCCGCAGATAAAGTCAATCATAAATCAATCTGGTTTATTACAAGTTGCAACAGCACAGAAGCAGAGAAAAATGTAATGTCTAGCTGGCCTCTTGGAGACAAGCCCTTTATATTTTAAAATCAGACAGCACCAAGTGTTCTGTAAACACCAGCCCCAGAGGCTTGTAGGAAGACAAAACTGCAGTGACTGTCAGCTGCTAGATCATCACACAGCGTTTCACACAATACAATAATAATCAAGCGTCCCCGGTCCTTGGTCCTCCAGTCTGGCGTCAATTACTATCAACAAAACATCGCACAAACAGAACACTGGAAATCATGTGTATTACAGAAAGGGAACACTCTTAACTGTATTAATCTTGAATATTCCAATTACAGGGTGGAAACAGAAAACAGACCTTACATCAGTTTCTAGGGGTGACTCACTGAAAACAGCCCCATCAGACAGACCCACCTCCATCATCTCCAGTTTCTCAGGATAGGCCAGGTCCCCGGGGGCTGGGTTGTATCCGATGATGTCAGTCTGGATGTAGATGTGTGTCCTGTAGACCAGCCTCTCCTGAACATCCTCCAACATCTGTTTCACCACCGCGTCAAAGGCCCCCAACTGACCAGCTACACACACACAGGAGTGGTCATACAGTTCTATTCAGCCTGCTTACGCACCCATTTTCTTATATAGGAATCTCTTAAATGTTTACCTGAAGGCCTATACATTGAGCTCCAAAAGTATGGGGACAGTCACACTTTTTTGGTTGTTTTGGCTCTGTCCTCCAGCACTTTGGATTTGAAATGATACAATGAATATGGAGGTTAAAGTGCAGACTGTCAACTTTAATTTGAGGGTATTTTATGATGAGTGAGAAAGTTAGACGCACAAATATCATACCCCCTCAAAAATGCTAACCTCTCCTGTTATTGTAATGGTGAGAGGTGAGCATGTCTTGGTGTTATGATATTTGTGTGTCTGCAACTTTCTCACTCATCATTATTCACGATTCATTCAGGACTATCCGTAAACATTGTAGCATCCACATTAATGTAGAAGTGTTTAGAAACATATTCTATTCTTATTTACAATAAAAGTGTCTCCAAAATGACACAATACATTATTTACCATTCATTTCTATTGGGCACAAAATAATCAAACACAACCAAAACAAACAGCAAATGCGTCCAACAAGTTTGTAGAGTCACAAGCTTTATGTAATCGTTGTGTGATAGGAATATGGGACCAAATATTACACTTTTTACTACTTTAATACACATAAGTGAATTTGTCCCAACACTTTAGGTCTCCTAAAATGGGGGGACTATGTACAAAAAGTGCTGTAATTTCTAAACAGTTCACCCTCAAATGAAAGCGGACAGTCTGCACTTGAACCTCATAGTCATTGTATCATTTCAAATCCAAAGTGCTGGAGTACAGAGCCAAAACAACAAAATGTGTCACTGCTGCAATACTTTGGAGCTCACTGTATATTGCTAGCTTGTATGGTAAGATGTTCTGGTAAATGTGTAACATACAAGTGTATATTTCCTACAAAGAGTTAACTGTACTTGATGGTTAGAGTAACCAGAGTAGGTCATTTGTATTGTGAATAACAGTACCGTTGTTGTGGACGTGGTCCTCCAGCATCTCATTCTTGAGAATGCCACAGAGCTCTGACAGGGTCTCCAGGTGGATAACGTGGATGATGAGTGGCCGCAGGACGTCGTACAGCGACAGACACAGCTTCTCCAGCAGCTCACTGGAGGGGGGAAACCCAACAGCAAGCACCATTACTCCCATTCACAAGTCAGACCAGTGAGCACAAGGCTCTAGTGAGTTAACTCACTGCAATGTAAAAGGTCATATTTGAGTCGTCCTCTTGAAATAATATGTTGAAAATGTATTTGTTTCTCCAAGCGAGAAACACTAGCTAGTATATACGAAAGCTAGATAAATATTTGAATCTCACTGTGTTGAATTTTAAAGCTGCAGTTTTTTTTTAATGAATGCCTAAGTCAGCAATTACAACAGTAGAGCTATCACGTGCTGTAGCAGACACTATTGAGAATACTGACCAGGAAATAGCCATTCATGTGAGCCTTGCCTTCAAGACAAACACCCTGTACAAATACTGAAGTAGAACATGACACTGTGTTGAATTGCATGGCTGCCCTCAGCAAATTCTGTTAATGAAAACCTAAGAAAGCCATACAATAGAGGTGTCATGAGCTTCAGCATATACTATGGAGAATACTAACCAACCAGGTTATAGCCCAGCCTTCTTGACAAACATATGCAGAATGTGTTGTAGGACATAAACTGTACATGCTTCTTACTCCCTCCTATACCAGCATCAGGGGATGGTACTACTTACTCTAGTCTGGGCGTGGGTTTGGAGAAGAACTCATTGTAGAGCTGGTGCTCATCCTGACAGACGTGAACCATGAAGGCACAGCCACTACGCACCTGGGAGGAGAACACAGGACAGACATAATCAGCTCTGGCAAACCATGTTGAAGGCTTCTCAGATAATCTTAATAATCAAAAGTGAATGGATCCTAGTAAAATAGTGTGGTCTTACTAATGCACAGTGGTCCTTGTTGTTTTGGCTGGTCAGGTCTGTGATGGTGGATGTGATGCTGGGGCTGAGGAGCTGCTCTCTCTGGTCCAGGTAGCACTGGTGGATCTCCTCTAAAAGCTGGTGGTACCTGGGGACGCCAGAACGTGGGAAATAATTACACGTAGATGACAGAAAACATTACATACAGTGAGGGAAAAAAGTATTTGATCCCCTGCTTATTTTGTATGTTTGCCCACTGACAAAGACATGATCAGTCTATAATTTTAATGGTAGGTTTATTTGAACAGTGAGAGACAGAATAACAACAAAGAAATCCAGAAAAACGCATGTCAAAAATGTTATAAATTAATTTGCATTTTAATTAGGGAAAAAAGTATTTGACCCCTCTGCAAAACATGATTTAGTACTTGGTGGCAAAACCCTTGTTGGCTATCACAGAGGTCAGACGTTTCTTGTAGTTGGCTACCAGGTTTGCACACATCTCAAGAGGGATTTTGTTCCACTCCTCTTTGCAGATCTTCTCCAAGTCATTAAGGTTGAGGCTGACGTTTGGCAACTCGAACCTTCAGCTCCCTCCACAGATTTTCTATAGGCTTAAGGTCTGGAGACTGGCTAGGCCACTCCAGGACCTTAATGTGATTCTTCTTGAGCCACTCCTTTGTTGCCTTGGCCGTGTGTTTTGGGTCATTGTCATGCTGGAATACCCATCCACGACCCATTTTCAATGCCCTGGCTGAGGGAAGGAGGTTCTCACCCAAAATTTGACGGTACATGGCCCCGTCCATCGTCCCTTTGATGCGGTGAAGTTGTCCTGTCCCCTTAGCAGAAAAACACCCCCAAAGCATAATGTTTCCACCTCCATGTTTGACGGTGGGGATGGTGTTCTTGGGGTCATAGGCAGCATTCCACCTCCTCCAAACACGGCGAGTTGAGTTGATGCCAAAGACCTCGATTTTGGTCTCATCTGACCACAACACTTTCACCCAGTTCTCCTCTGAATCATTCAGATGTTCATTGGCAAACTTCAGACGGGCTTGTATATGTGCTTTCTTGAGCAGGGGGACCTTGCGGGCGCTGCAGGATTTCAGTCCTTCACGGCGTAGTGTGTTACCAATTGTTTTCTTGGTGACTATGGTCCCAGCTGCCTTGAGATCATTGACAAGATCCTCCCGTGTAGTTCTGGGCTGATTCCTCACCGTTCTCATGATCATTGCAACTCCACGAGGTGAGATCTTGCATGGAGCCCCAGGCCGAGGGAGATTGACAGTTCTTTTGTGTTTCTTCCATTTGTGAATAATCTCACCAACTGTTGTCACCTTCTCTCCAAGCTGCTTGGCGATGGTCTTGTAGCCCATTCCTGCCTTGTGTAGGTCTACAATCTTGTCCCTGACATCCTTAGAGAGCTCTTTGGTCTTGGCCATGGTGGAGAGTTTGGAATCTGATTGATTGATTGCTTCTGTGGACAGGTGTCTTTTATACAGGTAACAAGCTGAGATTAGGAGCACTCCCTTTAAGAGTGTGCTCCTAATCTCAGCTCGTTACCTGTATAAAAGACACCTGGGAGCCAGAAATCTTTCTGATTGAGAGGGGGTCAAATACATATTTCCCTCATTAAAATGCAAATCAATTTATGTGTTTTTCTGGCTTTTGTTGTTGTTATTCTGTCTCTCACTGTTCAAATAAACCTACCATAAAAAATATAGACTGATAATTTCTTTGTCAGTGGGCAAAAGTACAAAATCAGCAGGGGATCAAATACTTTTTTCTGACACTGTAGGTGAGGTGATCCTGATAATGCCATTTTAGCATACAAGAGCCCAATACTTACTCAGAAATTCTCTCTGACCTCTGCTCTATTTGTTCAATCAGTGTCTGAAAGAACAAATCACACAATTATTAATCTCTAGAAAGACCACACATAATTGTGTACCAAAAGAAGGGTGGCTTAGAAAGTCCACAGTAATTCCAACATAATTATTTTATAATTATACTAACTCTGACTTTGGGTGCAGCTGCTCTGAACTTGACATAGTACAGCGTGAAGGCATTGTCTGCGTTAGCAAGACCCAATGGATCCTGAAAGAAAAGTATATTCTAAATCAGACAGACAACTCAAGACAGAAGACAGTTGATTGTGTACCAGTACCAAGTCACAATCGATAATAAAAGTGGCAGAGGAGTTCTTCCTACCCTTTTTGTTAACTGGTTGGTGAGATTCTGCATAGTGTTCACAGTGTGAGCCTTCATGAAGTGCATAGCTTTAGACAGACATTGTTTGAATTTGGCCAGATACACTGGGTAGTCCTTAAAGTTTGGCTGTAGGTGAAAAATAACAGAAATAAGTAAGTCATAACATGATATACTGACACAGCTCTACAGTAGAATACGGACACACTTTCCATTGTGAGCTGAAAATATACTTACATGGGACGAAACATATTCTATACAGTCATCCAATTTTGAAAGCATTGGTATAAATCCTTCACTGTTTACAGACAGTGTGGGCGAGTTTAATTTCTGCAAAGACAGAGCAAGAGAAATTATGACCTTTTGCAATGCTCGGGTTAGGAACAAGATTCACCTTCAGAGACATTTGCTCAAGGATTTAAAATGTCACAGCAAAGGAGGATGGATAAAAGGTTTAATCAGAAAGCATACCGTGCTGATGTTCTCCAACTCATTGAAATAGGAAAGCTTCTGCTGTATGCTCTCAGCCAGATCCACCAGCTCAGACTGTTAAAGAGAAAAGTATATGTTGGCAGGGAACTATGATTTTGATAACAGGCTGACATTTCATGTCTGATGTTGTATTCCATTACAAATGGAAATAGGTCCATACTACTATGATCTGTTGGTACCTTTTGTGCCTCTGACAGTCTCACAGCCTACATGTAAGTGGTTCTCTACCTGTTCTTTAAGGAGCTGTTCACAGGCCTCATGGAGGGTTCCTGTCTTGTTGGACACAAACAGGTACTGCTTCTGCAGAGAGTCCAGGTGCTCAAGGGCAGCATTCACGTCATTCAGAATAGCATCACATTGTTCCTGATAACAATTGAGATGGTCTCTAGTTTTCCTGCAGGAGTAACACACACAAAACATTCCATTCAATTCCTCAGAGATAGAGATCTAATGCAGCTTAGGATGCACTGTATATAAATCTACTTTCAATTTGAGAGATCAGCAAGTGGAAAGACATGAACATTAAGTTCACCTGTGCTTAGCTCCTTCATCTTGATCCATTTGTGTCTGTAGCTTCGAAAACCAGGAGAAAAACTGCAATGCAAATAACACCGAAAGTCAACCTTTAACCAAGATAGCTAACTACTATACAACAAACTAACACATTCAACAATCATATGATATGAAAAATAGTAGACAGTAGACTTGAGGCATGTAATGACAGTGTGTACGTGTGTGCCGCAGAGGCTGCGTTTATACAGGCTGCCCAATTCAGATATTTTTTCACTAATCGGATAAGCTCTGAAAAATATCTGATGTGAAAAGATCTGATGTGATTGGTCAAAATATCAATTAGTGGAGAAAATATCAGAATTGGGCTGTCTGTGTAATCACAGCCAGTGTAATGAAAAGCAACACACCTGTTGCGCTGTCTCTATCCTCTCATTCTCCAGATCAAGCATTTGAAAGCCCTTGAGCAGGACATCTTCTGTGGAAGCTGGTACAGTTGTTGTGAATGGGGACCGTTGAGAGCGGGATGTCAGGCTGCACAAGTCTTCAATGGGCAGCTGGATGTGGAATGCAAATAGGGTTTAGACCAACACATGACACAACCAATACAATACTGTCATAGATCTCAAAATGCTAAACAGTTAGAGCTAGTTAGCTAGGTTTACCAGGTTTGATTGATAGGTTACTATAACTTGGGGTTATGATTCGATGACTTTAATACTTGGCGTGGTGTGTTAGTGAGAGTTAGCTAAGCCTCCTCACAGAAGTCATCAGACAAGTTGATAAACTCTGGCAAGTTGTTAGTTAGCAAAGTAGCTCGTTAGCCTAGCTGGCTAGTGGCTACAAACTAAGACTCAGCAAACAACGTGGCAGACGTTAAGTTAGCAAGCTAGTTAGTTAGATATTTGAGCTGGCAGCTAGCTAGGTTGAGTTGTGACACTAGCTAATGTTATGCTTCTTAGCAAGTCCCTCCTGACAATCCTACAATGCAATCAACCCATTTGCTTTCTGGAATGCATCTTTGCACCTGTCAACTAGCTGCTAAATCGGTGGTAGCCTAGCTTGCTAGGTTGTTAGCATTAACAGCTAGCTAGCCAGCTAACTACTGTCTCGTCAGCTCACCTCTGCGGGAATAGGTAGGGTTTCAGAGGCAGCTCGGATTTCCAGAATAGAGTCCGTTTGTTTCTCTGTCAGGGGAGCCATGGCATCTGTCCGCCGGTCCCACTGTGATAGTTTTTCACGCGTTTCTTTATCTGTCAGGTCCAGAAAAGAATGGTCTGTGGACGCCATCATCATCCTCAGCAACATTAAACGTCAGCAGCAGACTACTTCCTTTTCCGGAAAAATGGGCGGCGTTCCAAAAAGGGGGAGGACTCTGACTACAGCATCCAATGGTATGACTACTTTTCAGAACAATATCTTACTTCATTGGTGGTTGAAACGTTGAAACGCTTAAAACGTTGCACACAGAAATAAAAGTGATAAAGGAGTGGGTGTTCTCAGGAGACATTTAGTGAACAGTGTATTTCCAGTGATGTTGGCAAATCTGTAATCTGTAACATTGAGTATACTGTGACATTGTTTCACTAAACAGAAAAATAACACAACCCAAAGCGACAGCACAGAAGCACTCACTGCTGATACCCATCAATCCTACCAGTTTTATTATGGTCTTTGGTAGACTATCTCAAATCAAATTTTATTTGTCACATGCAAATCAAATCAAATCACAGGATACAGCAGGTGTAAACAATACTACCGCTGCATCATCGAGAGTGTCTTGACCGATTGCATCACGGCCTGGTACGGGAATTGCTCCGTCCACGACTGCAAGGCCCTCCAGAGGATGTTGAAGAAGGCCCAGTACATCACTGGGACCGTGCTCCCACCCATTCAGGACATCTACTCAAAACGGTGCCTGAGGAAGGACCGCAGCATCATCAAGGACTCCATACACCCCAACCAGTGTGAGAGAATTAACACTTTCATTGTTATGCAATAACACCCTGTGTAGTATTTTTAACACTAGGTAGTGTATATAGTTTACACCAATGGTGTTATGCACTAAAACCTCATAGAGTGGGGGAAAAAAGTATTTAGTCAGCCACCAATTGTGCAAGTTCTCCCACTTAAAAAGATGAGAGAGGCCTGTAATTTTCATCATAGGTACACGTCAACTATGACAGACAAAATGAGAAAAAAAATATCCAGAAAATCACATTGTAGGATTTTTTATGAATTTATTTGCAAATTATGGTGGAAAATAAGTATTTGGTCAATAACAAAAGTTTCTCAATACTTTGTTATATACCCTTTGTTGGCAATGACACAGGTCAAACGTTTTCTGTAAGTCTTCACAAGGTTTACACACACTGTTGCTGGTATTTTGGCCCATTCCTCCATGCAGATCTCCTCTAGAGCAGTGATGTTTTGGGGCTGTCGCTGGGCAACACGGACTTTCAACTCCCTCCAAAGATTTTCTCTGGGGTTGAGATCTGGAGACTGGCTAGGCCACTCCAGGACCTTGAAATGCTTCTTACGAAGCCACTCATTCGTTGCCCGGGCGGTGTGTTTGGGATCATTGTCATGCTGAAAGACCCAGCCACGTTTCATCTTCAATGCCCTTGAGGTTTTCACTCAAAATCTCACGATACATGGCCCCATTCATTCTTTCCTTTACACGGATCAGTCGTCCTGGTCCCTTTGCAGAAAAACAGCCCCAAAGCATGATGTTTCCACCCCCATGCGTCACAGTAGGTATGGTGTTCTTTGGATGCAACTCAGCATTATTTGTCCTCCAAACACGACGAGTTGAGTTTTTACCAAAAAGTTATATTTTGGTTTCATCTGACCATATGACATTCTCCCAATCCTCTTCTGGATCATCCAAATGCACTGTAGCAAACTTCAGACGGGCCTGGACATGTACTGGCTTAAGCAGGGGGACACGTCTGGCACTGCAGGATTTGAGTCCCTGGCGGCGTAGTGTGTTACTGATGGTAGGCTTTGTTACTTTGGTCCCAGCTCTCTGCAGGTCATTCACTAGGTCCACCCATGTGGTTCTGGGATTTTTGCTCACCGTTCTTGTGATCATTTTGACCCCACGGGGTGAGATCTTGCGTGGAGCCCCAGATCGAGGAAGATTATCAGTTGTTTTATATGTCTTCCATTTCCTAATAATTGCTCCCACAGTTGATTTCTTCAAACCAAGCTGCTTACCTATTGCAGATTCAGTCTTCCCAGCCTGGTGCAGGTCTACAATTTTGTTTCTGGTGTCCTTTGACAGCTCTTTGGTCTTGGCCATAGTGGAGTTTGGAGTGTGACTGTTTGAGGTTGTGGACAGGTGTCTTTTATACTGATAACAAGTTCAAACAGGTTCCATTAATACAGGTAACGAGTGGAGGACAGAGGAGTCTCTTAAAGAAGAAGTTACAGGTCTGTGAGAGCCAGAAATCTTGCTTGTTTGTAGGTGACCAAATACTTATTTTCCACCATAATTTGCAAATAAATTCATTAAAAATCCTACAATGTGATTTTCTGGATTTGTTTTCCTCAATTTGTCTGTCATAGTTGACGTGTACCTATGATGAAAATTACAGGCCTCTCTCATCTTTTTAAGTGGGAGAACTTGCACAATTGGTGGCTGACTAAATAATTTTTTCCCCCACTGTATAGTATTTTTAACCATTACACCAAGAACATAACAATAATAGTCTTTATTGCCACATGCTCATATGTAAGCGCTTATGAAGACTTTACAACTGGCAGCAGACATGCTCACACTTTAATTAAACATAACAATAGCCCACTAAATCCGGTACAATAATAATATAATAATAATATGCCATTTAGCAGACGCTTTTATCCAAAGCGACTTACAGTCATGTGTGCATACATTTTTTTCTTTACGTATGGGTGGTCCCGGGGATCGAACCCACTACCCTGGTGTTACAAGTGCCATGCTCTACCAATTGAGCTACAGAGGACCACGCACTTCCACTCACGGGTCGCGACTAAGCCTTGCCTCAATATAATTACCCAGTGTGCCTTTTCAAGTGAATTGTAGACTTACCACCCACAGTTGAAGTCGGATGTTTACATACACCTTAGCCAAATACATTTAAACTCAGTTTTTCACAATTCCTGACATTTAATCCTAGTACAAATTCCCTGTCTTAGGTCAGTTAGGATCACCACTTTATTTTAAGAATGTGAAATGTCAGAATAATAGTAGAGAGAATTATTTATTTAAGCTTTTATTTCTTTCATCACATTCCCAGTGGGTCAGAAGTTTACATACACTCAATTAGTATTTGGTAGCATTGCCTTCAAATTGTTTAACTTGGGTCAAACGTTTCGGGTAGCCTTCCACAAGCTTCCCACAATAAGTTGGGTGAATTTTGGCCCATTCCTCCTGACAGAGCTGGTGTAACTGAGTCAGGTTTGTAGGCCTCCTTGCTTGCACACGCCTTTTCAGTTCTGCCCACAAATATTCTATAGGATTGAGGTCAGGGCTTTGTGATGGCCACTCCAATACCTTGACTTTGTTGTCCTTAAGCCATTTTGCCACAACTTTGGAAGTATGCTTGTGGTCATTGTCCATTTGGAAGACTCATTTGCGACCAAGCTTTTTCTTCCTGACTGATGTCTTGAGATGTTGCTTCAATATATCCACATAATTTTCCTTCCTCATGATGCCATCTATTTTGTGAAGTGCACCAGTCCCTCCTGCAGCAAAGCACCCCCACAGCATGATGCTGCCACCCCTGTGCTTCACGGTTGGGATGGTGTTCTTCGGCTTGCAAGCTCCCCCTTTTTCCTCCAAACATACCAATGGTCATTATGGCCAAACAGTTCTATTTTTGTTTCATCAGACCAGAGGATATTTCTCCAAAAAGTATGATATTTGTGCCCATGTGCAGTTGCAAACCGTAGTCTGGCTTCTTTATGGCGGTTTTGGAGCAGTGGCTTCTTCCATGCTGAGCGGCCTTTCAGGTTATGTCGATATAGGACTCGTTTTACTGTGGATATAGATACTTTTGTACATGTTTCCTCCAGCATCTTCACAAGGTCCTTTGCTGTTGTTCTGGGATTGATTTGCACTTTTCGCACCAAAGTACGTTAATCTCTAGGAGACAGAACGCGTCTCTTTCCTGAGCGGTATGACGGCTGCGTGGTCCTGTTGTGTTTATACTTGCGTAATATTGTTTGTACAGATGAACGTGGTACCTTCAGGCATTTGGAAATTGCTCTCAAGGATGAACCAGACTTGTTGAGGTCTAAAAAAAAAATTTCTGAGGTCTTGGCTGATTTCTTTTGATTTTCCCATGATGTCAAGCAAAGAGGCACTGAGTTTGAAGGTAGGCCTTGAAATACATCCACAGGTACACCTCCAATTGACTGAAATGATGTCAATTAGCCTATCAGAAGCTTCTAAAGCCATGACATCATTTTCTGGAATTTTCCAAGCTGTTTAAAGGCACATTCAATTCAGTGTATGTAAACTTCTGACCCACTGGAATTGTGTTACAGTGAATTATAAGTGAAATAATCTGTCTGTAAACAATTGTTGGAAAAATGACTTGTGTCATGCACAAAGTAGATGTCCTAACTGACTTGCCAAAACTATAGTTTGTTAACAAGAAATTTGTGGAGTGGTTGAAAAACAAGTTTTAATGACTCCAACCTAAGTGTATGTAAACTTCTGACTTCAACTGTATGATGACATTTGTTAGTGACAGACACATGGTTGTTGTATTCATTTGGACTTTGATTTCTACTGTAGGCAAATGTCATCATTAAAATGAATATCTTTATGACAATACATTACATACTGTATGTCATACGGCCTTGCTCTGATGGCCAGGATTTGCCCTAACACAGTGGTGTTAGGAACCTCCTGGTTTACAGGCCACATCAGGCCTGCAAGTCACATTATTCTTGCTTGCAAAGTGATGTGTAATTCCTATTGGAAACCAGTCAGAGTTAGGATATCCGACAGTTTGAATTTTTATTCACCCACAACCTGCATTCAGAATGACTATAAGAGTTATGAACATTGATAAAGGAGTCTACCTAAACCATTTAAACTGGAACAATAATTTCAGTAACAGGCACAATATATCTATCTAACTAGTTTAGAAAAAAATGTTATTTATCTTTGTGTTGCACAAGATTAATCAATCAATCAATCAATCAATGTAGATGCAAAAACACAGATATTAAAAACAATCCTAAAAAATCTAGCTACAGTAGAGCATGCTGGGGAAAATGATAATAATGAACATGGTTTTGATGGGAATGTTTTACTCT